GCGAGGTGCCGATCATGAGTGTGGCCGATCCATTGGCCATCGGCAAGCCGAGCGCGGTACGGGGCCCCAGGGGCCCCAGGGGGCCCAGGTTTTTTTCGCAGCTGGAGAGTGGCCGATGCATGGTGGATCTAATAAGCTGGTGATTTATGGTATTTTGTTTCAGATACCGTGTGGCGTTGGAACATTGGAGATGAACTATGTTTCGCTATAGTAAGCCCCGTTTGGTTCAGACATGTTCAAAGTGTTTCCCTGAGGCCTTGGGCATGGATTACAGTGAAGAGTACTGGCTGCTTTAATCCAAAAGGGAACGACTCTTTCATTTCATGGGTGGTCAAACCAATAATACACCATCCCCAAAATCACCATCCATGGACCCCATATTTCGCCCCTGCCTTGCCCGTGGTCTTAGCTGCTTCGCAGGAGGCTGGGGCACCTGCTGCCCCGGCTGCAAAGGAGAAGCACAACCCTAACCGCCTGGCGGATTCGCAAAAGAAACTCCAGACCTGCGCGCGCGCATTGCGCAACCGCATGGTGCGCACTGAGGGGGAGGTGGTGATGATGATGATGAGGATGATGATGATGATGATGATGGTGATGGTGATGGTGATGTTGGTGATGTTGGTGATGGTGGATATACTGGTTATTTCCTGTGTTAATTTACGACTGTCTCGTCAAAACAACCACAGTAGTACTACCTATATAATTACTCCAAATATATAGCCCGTTCAGCCTCGGTACATCCCGAAGTTTCAGCCCAGGCGAAGGAGCAATCCGATGTGTGGAAGAAGACCGAGGCGGAGTTCAACGTCCAGAAGATGATTTGGCAAAGTTTGAGTCTCTCCGGCTTCAAAAAACACCGGATCATGGATCCATCCACTTTATAATAACTTAATCATGTAAGTTGATATCGTTTGTTTTGGCAGTATTTCTGGATCATTGTTGGTCATTTTACTGGAAGATGTTCCGCACTTTGGCCACAAGTTGGCAACCGGAGGGTAAAGAAAAAACTAAACAACTCTCAATCAAACCCTTTGTGGTGATCAAAAACCAACCCAATTAGGGTTTTAAATGGTTACTGACATCATTGGGTGGTATCGAGCCCCACGAAATCACTATGAAGTCTCTATTATGTATATATATATATATGTACATATATGTTCCATTATATACATATATATATATATCCTTTCGTGCCATCCCAGCATATAATATCAAATCCATCAAATCCGGAGAAATAGCAAAAAAACTTATAAAAACCACATCAAACACACACACACACACACCAAAAAAAAAACAAAAACGACTGAGGTTTGCAGCGTGGGGAGAAGCACAAGGGCAATGCAGCAATGATCCAATCGAAATTAGAGCACCTCGTTGAGCATTTTTGGTTGGGCCAGATTTTTGTGGGGATTTTGATTTCAAATATGTCACTTATTTTCTTTGTTTATGTCCCAATTTGTGTGTTTTTTTTTTTTTGTGGGGGGGAATTGGTATTGTGGCCTCCTCAAAATGTCAAAATATTCCGAATGTGATTTCATGAGATTCTTGAGGAGGTGTGATGTGGGATTTGATGTCAGTCAATTTTTAAAATCATCCTTGATTTTTCGGAAATTGATGGGATTTGATGGGGGGGGCTGACATTTTCATAGGGATTGAATTAGGATTTGATGAGGGTTAACAAAACAGGAATTTAACCAACAAGAATGGTGGCATAGTGGGATGTAAGTGAGGTAGCATAATTGGGATAATCTTGACAAAATGATCTTTTGCAAAGGTTGTTATGGCTGGAATATTGGCGCAACTATCCCAAGATAGTCTAACTTTTCAGGCGAATCATTCTAAGTTTCCCAGATGTTTCCGGGGAGGTATGATAGATATATGTAAAATTATGTAAAGAATATTAGCGGGACTTACATGTAATTTATGGATATATAGTATGTAGATGTATGTGTTCCTCTCACAGTGTTGGGTACCTCTGCCTCTGCGATGTCTAATATGACAGATTCTGAGAGCCAGATGATAAGTCTTGTGGTTGAACCGGATCCATATCGTGGCTTTGTTTAAGGTCTTTTTACCAATGGGAACCGCACAAGTTGCCCAAGAGTTTTCAGTCCCCTTTTATGGTGATTCGATCGCCATGCATGGCCAGAGAAAGTTTGCTTTGGCCAAATACCTTGTGTTTTTCTCATTTTAAAACCATATCATTGGGGCGTTTTGGTGTTTTTACCACCGGAAAACCCATATGCTGGCTTGGTTTCAGATCGACTCAGGGTTGGTTTTTCTCATCCAACTTCATTCGTATAACGCGGAACCATGGCTTACAGTAGTCGCTTAAGCTATGGGATGTTTTATCATGCATTATCTGCATTGTTTGCATGAAACTTATGTTCACATCAAAAGTAAATAACAATCAAAACCATCAACAAATATAATATATTTATTTATTTATTTAACGGATCATTATTACGGAAAATGGGATGTGCATTTGTATTTGCCATTATTTAAGTTATCCGTTATAATTCACCAGTTATCGATTAAATCGCATCAAATTCCTGCAAGCGTTCGGAAAATCGCCAAAAAACACATAAAATCCGAGAAAACATTATATATTATATATATATATAGAAATCATCATTTCCCCATGAATTTTGTGGTCAAATCCCCCTTCCAAACGCTTTCCGTCAAAAATCTGCCACAGGTTCGCCTTCGCCACGCACGCCACGGATCTCGCAAAGGCCATTGAAGCCTTGGAGACGCGGCTGATTGGGGTCCCTTGGGAGGTCCCATGGGAGTACGAAAAATGGGGGATGAGTCAAGGCAATAAAAATCTATGGAGTATCATCATAATCCCCATTTTTAATAATAGTACATTTATGGAGTATCATAATAATCTACGAAGTATCATCATAATGTCATAATTAATCTTTAATAATGTTAATCTATGGATATGTGTATCCATTGATATTATTACTATATGTACTATATCGTATCATAATAATTATATAATCTATAATAACCCATCCCCATCACATAGCACTATGGAGTCAAAACCTATCATAGTTAGTGCTGCATCTATAATAGATAAATAGATAGATAGATAGATAGATGGATGGATAGATAGATAGATAGATACAGTAATACAGCAGGCCAGCCTAGAACAGGATACTGGGACAATGATCCAAGTATCCTTCTGCTGTGATCATCTCAAGGGTGTAATTAATTTGATAGGAATGAGTCAAGCCCTAGATAGTATTAGGGTATTATATATTTGACTCATATTACTATAGCTGGGGGAATAACAAAATAACAATCCATTATTTAGATTATTTAGGGTACCTGACAGTATTTGGTGGAATAAACACCCATTGGTAAGCTGGCACATAGCTATACATAGTTATGTGAGTTTACCAGAGGGAGTATTACCCGAAATCATCAAACATGGCAACTGAACTTTGTAGCTGGGAAAAGCACCAATCAATCGTGGATTCAAGGATGAACTATCGTACTACAGGATATTTTTGGGATATTAATGGGATATAATGGGATACTAGTGTGCTTAATAGGGTTCATAATGGGATATTCTATGACTATGACAAACCAATTTTCAAAATTTCAATCCACTTATATGGGGATGGGTGAAAACCTATTATTGCCATATTTCGAGGAATCCACATCCATTAACCAGGACATAAAACCAAGCATCAATGGGTAAATGGGGTAATGGGATATAGAACCAACTAAAATTTGGTGTCTGAAAATGTGGTATACTGTGCAATATTGCTATCTTAAGCGGGAAACTCATGATTAGCCAATGGATGGAATGGGGTACCCAATTTTCAGACAGCCATATCCTCGTTTGGGGATTCAAACATTTGTTCCAACATACTTGGGATGATGTTAATTACTTGGGATGATGTTAATTACCCTTTGGTTATTAAACCGAAGTGGAAAACCATCATTTTAAAACGGGTTTAACATGAACCGAAGAATATAATAATGGGCCATGGCTTAGCTATCGAACTAGATGGGCCGGAGCTGCAAACCAAATCCATGTTGGGCCAGCTCGGTTGGAAACTGTGTTTTACCGAATAAAATTTTGGTGAATGGATGGTTGAGCTTAGCTCAAAATGGAAGAGAACCTCCATCAAAACGACCTGTAAAGGGACAAGAAGACATGAATTGAAGCCAAAACTGTACTTCATCTATCGTAGCAGAAGTAGTTTTTGTCCGCATTGGGATTTTGGTTCGGAAGACGCTACTGAGCCGCTACTGTACCATTCTGCATCAGATTGCAGCCTGAAGTTCCATCACAAACCTGCTGGGTCAGGATCTACTTCCCCAAGATCCCAAAAATTCATTATCTTCATAAACGGTCCTCCCAGCCACGGCCTTTGGCCGTCTCGCTAAGGGGACCTGTCTTTGAGTCCCAAGTCTTTGAAGTAGGGTAAATACAGAAACTCTTGGATCCCGAAGCAGATACTTTTTAAAGCCAATTGGCAGCATTTACATAATTTTTCGAATTATTGGCCAAACAAAGATCCAATCACGAATAATGTCAACCCCGGATAAAGAGTTATCCTAGTTTATTACCTCCCAGCCTTGAAATTCCGCAAAACAAAGCGCTACCCTCCGCCAATGATCCGCCCAGGCTTTCAGATCATTGGCGGAGGGTCATTGACTAAACATAGCAATGGGAAATCCCTTACTACATGGATTATAGCTGGAAAGATCATCTATAAATATGGGTTTTAACAGGGAAACACACATGTAATGAATTCTCAATTCAAGCGACTATATAATCCATGACAACTGGTTCCACAATGTTCCATATGATTCCGTTTCATTGTTTCCTCTTGCCCCCGTCAATAGCACACTTACGACCTTCTCCCACCGCCCACATCAGGACATGTGTTTAAAGATCAACGAGGGCCATGACCTTTTGGGAGTGGAAGCTCGGACGATGGCGCAGGGGTTTGGGTGCCCAAAAAATTCAAAAAAGGGTGTTGGCAACGTTAAATAACTATAGGATAACTATAGGTGAAATTCATGTTTTCTATATGGCTCTTGGATCTTCATGGTAACCATGGTGGATGTATCATGATAGTCACTAGTCTTCATGGGGGTTATATAACTTGCGGCCACCTCGTGTGGGAAATTTTGGATCTCAAATTTTGATATCCCATCCCTCGTGGTTTCATCCCCGTGATGAAGTATGACTAGCACAAGTGATGGGCATGCGTAAAAACACACCCATATACGTATATGACTATATGTAAAAGTAATTTAGCTAATATGGGGTAATACCCATAAAAGTGATTGTTCGGTTACTTCTTAACTCCCTCCCCCCAAAAAAGTAGGACCGTAAAATCATGTACAACCCACGTGGAAGATCGCGTTAAATCACACATGTTCTATGTCTTAAACAGGGCCCGGGTTCCTGTTTCATCGTGCTTGTCCTGAGGCGATGGTTGAAGCAATGGAGTCCATCAAAACCGCAGCCATCCATGCAGATGCACGGGCAGAACTGGCGAATTTGCTTGAAAAAGCTGCAGAAGAACTGGCAGTAGGAGCTATTAGAGCTCCCACTGGATTGGTTATCTGATGTTATCTGGTTGGTGGTTTGGAATATGAATTTTAGTTTTCCATTGGGAATATCATCATCCCAACTGACTTTCACTCATATTTTTCAGAGGGGTCTGTACCACCAACCAGTTATGGAATGGATCCCATTGGTGGATTTATTGAGAACCGGCAGGAGCGATGTTGGTTATCCCAGGGTATTCTGTTATCCCATTGGTTCATGGGTCTCCCCCAAAAAAATTACCAAGCAATAAGTACATTTCGCCCCATGAAAACCAAGAGCTACCATGAGAATAGACCTCTGGGCAGGAGCGATCTCCGCAGTTTTCCCAGTGGTTGAGGGGGGCAAAAAACAAGAAACTTGGACTTTTAGAGGGTATTAAAACAAGCCAATAGGTAAATTATAATGGAATATCCTAAGCTATCTCACTGCTTGATGATCAATATATGGCTTTCCCCATGAAAACCACCGGTAAATGATAATAGACCTGGCAGAAGGAACTTTGATGTGCGGTTTTCCCAATGGGAAATCCACTAGCCACTCCAAGGGAGGGATAATTTGGGGTCAAGGTGGGGTAGTAACCACCCCAAAGATGCAAAACAAATAAAGTATACCACTATTATAGTAGGATTTTACCAATTTCTATCTTGTCAGGGGTTGCTACACGTATGGTTGGCTTATTGAAGATCAAACAATCATCCAAGATTGATGCGCATGGATCCAGTTCTGTTCTGTTTGGCCATGTCCCACGCTTTTCCAGGGCCCCCTTCGATTACAATCAAAGAACACCACACATTCAAATTCCAGCCAGATTTAACCTGCTACAAACCCTACACTGCACTCAATTTTCAATAGCTCTTTCTTCGAAAATCAACAACAACACGAACAACTCTATTTTTTATAGTTTTAAAGCTGGTTGGTGGTTTGGAACATGTTTTATTTTTCCGTACATTGGGAATAATAATCCCAACTGACTTTCATTTTTTTCGGAGGGGTTGAAGTAGAAACCACCAACCAGAAAGCCATGCATTCCTGCAGATGTTCCGTTAAGTCACAGCTGGGCAGGACATGTTTCAAAGCACGGCAGCAATGAACTCGTTCAACTCTTGGGTGATTGTGGCATCCAGGACCGACCAGGGACGAGGGTTTCCATCGTCATGGCGTACCCCAAGATCGATGGTGAAAAAAACCCTGGAACATCCCAACCTAAAATGGATGACTGGGGGTAGCCTTATTTTAGGAAACCCCCCATGTGTTACCCATAAAAAAAGATCAAAGGAGGATTTGAAGGGTATATCATGGGAAAAAATCCATGTTCAAACCCGCTTCAACCCACAAGTTTGGGGAGGATTACTCACCTTTGACCAGATCAGCCCCCCCATCCAATGCTGGAACCTGCTGTCCCGTTGGGATTCTCCCCACTGTTTGGGATGGCTTGGAACCGTTCGAAACCACCAAACCAGACACCATGTCACGCCCTCCCTTGGTGCAGGAGCCCAAATTGGAAACGGCGATTAAATCGGCCTGGACTTTCGCTTATGGCGCACCTTGGCTCACAACTTGACCACTTCAAAGTAACTTTGGATGTACACAATGTGTTGATGTGCTGCAACTGGGTTCGGAAACATGTGGAAACCACGAGGAAACAAAGCTATGATCATATATGGTTTAACAGTTTAACAGAGAGGATCGAGGACAACACTGCCGCCCAGGAATAGACACAGCATCCTGATCCGTTTCCTTGTTGGGAAATTAGATGAAATTAAATGCGTTTCACCCGTCAAGTCGCTCAAGTGTCGCGTTCGCACGCGGAAAACTTGGGGAGTGCGGCGGTAAGTTTCAGCCAGGTATACCACCAGTGTTGCTGTCGCCATCACCGGTGAAGATATGACATTTATTGAAGTTTGGGGGTGGTCTTTGGTAATTTGACTAATCATATTTTTGTGATCTGTAATAAATGTAATAAAGTCACCTATCAATTGGCCTGTTTGGATAGCTATGTTAAATTACCAAAGGGCACCTTCCAGTATCTGGCCTTTGTCTCAATTGAGAGTTTGAACATCTCGTGGAAAGATCACCATTTAACTGGGCCTTTGTCTGCGATCGTCGGAGCGGACCGGAAGGGTACGTTCGCTCCATTTCGCTCCTTTCCGACGATTCGAAACAGTGCGGACTGGGGGGTTACCTGGCCTCCTGGTTGGTGGTTTGGAACATGAATTTATTTTTCCATATATTGGGAATAATCATCCCAACTGACTATATCATATTTTTCAGAGGGGTTGAAACCACCAACCAGCCTCTAATCTTCATCCTCCCTTGTGGAAGTCGTTTCAAGATTTTGACTGCTGCGCAGCCGAAAGTCAGACGACCCTGGCGCGCTTGAAGACTAAAAGTGACGGGGAGGGGGCCCGGCCGGAGGGAACGTGTGGGAATGCTGCTGATTGGAACAGCATGAAGCATACAAGACCAGTAGTTCTAGACAGACTGATGCTTTCAACATGTCAATTGAGCTCGAGATATGAATATGGTATGATCTACTTTACACACACACATATATATAATTATATATATATGTATATATATATGTGTGTGTGCATACAATTATATGTATATATTCATTGAGTATTTGTTTACAACTGTATCCAAATTAACTTCGGTTTGGGAGGACGGGCAGCAGACCTCGGCCATGTCGCTTCACACGAGGTTACCCCGCCAACTTGGGGTGGACTCAGTGAGTAAGCCGTATAGAACGGGGATGAACTGGGGTGATTTCCACATCTTTCATATGGTTACTGCATGTGATTGCCTTATTGCCCACTTACGATCTTGCCTGGGATGCATCGGATGCACATCCAAGAAATCACGGCTCACCACAGCAAGGTCACTGCAAGTCATGGACACGCTGGCTGCAGATTTGGAGAAAAAGTTGGGGCGTTTTGGGCTGGAGCAATATCCAAAGTCCATGGTGGTCAATGGTTCGAGGATTTCATACATGTTCAAACGTCCATAAGTGGTTTAATATGGTTTAATCAGGATTATCATTGAATATTAATTACAATTCAAAGTTGGAACCTCCGTGAGCCAAGCAGCAGAAGGGGTGACAGGCAGGCTTTCGAGCACTGATCAATTGGGTCACACGCAAAATCGATAAAGACCGTTCATATGGTCGATTCGTTGAGGCCCTTTGTGTTTGAATAACAGCCATTGAACTTCAAGGTACTATCAAGGTACCATTGTGAGGGGTGGCAACAATCACAAATCTGCACCAGGGCATCCTTGGGTCTAAACCACAACATACCACAACCCAGCGGCAAATCAATGGATGACTGGCACACTTTCATTTGAAACCAGCCTGTGTCAATATGTGGCTGAAGTTGCCTCCGGACGAGTTTGGCTTGCAGTTCAGAAGCTGCTGGATAAAGCGACTGCCAGACATGGTGGGCACTGGCGCAAACTCAGATGCCTTCCCAAAACATGTCCCGTGTTCGCGGTAAACATGTATTTTGAATTGAATTAGTGTAACTAGAATATAACCCAATACAAATACATATATATATATATTATATATAATTATATATATATATATCATGTGAATACAATGTGGAAGCCCACGCAAATACAGCAAACAGATCCAAGGCACAAGAGTCCAGCCCATGACCCAGGAAACAGCGTTCGGCGTTCGGAACGAGCAACCCCATTGAAGTTCGATGCGTCATAGCAATTCTGATCTTGGTATGGTCGTTTTTTTAAACCAACCGTGAGAGATGTGTGTTTGATTTGGTAAGTGATGTTCTATTTTTTTTGATATGTTTGCCTCCTTTTTGTTGGGGAGGCAGGACCCGCAATCATGAAGTTACGTGAACTTGAGCTTTTATTTTAGTGAGATGGGTGTGACAGCATGGGATCGGAGATGGATTTGGCAAAACCACCCGAGATGGAGCTACGAATTGAGCCAACCACATGATAGTTCTTCCCAGAGTTCAGGCATGTCCAACATAGATTCTATCGCCATTTTGACCGGTGACCGGTGATGGCATATGGCTTTGCTGCTTTTTCCGTGGGAGGACTCGGACCCAAAAAAATGGCGGTTGGTGTCGGAATTGTCCCAGTGCGGTGGGGTTTCGGTGGGTGATGTCACCATCAGTAAGATGGTCCCATGTTGCTGAAAAACGAACGAGGTCTTCTGATCTGGTTGTGACTTCAGCTTGATGTATTTGTTCAGCATCCTTTGTGTTAAGAGGTACCGTTTGTTGGTCCCACATTCATCACATCCTATGCTCGAGGAAGATCACATCTTGTTTATTTTTGCATTCAGTCGCATTCAAGGAGTAGCCTTCAGGGTGCAATGTCTTAGACGGCCGGGTTAAGCTGTGGCAATATAAAAATTTTGAAATATCATGAAAGACAATGAAAGACCATGAAATACCATGATATACCAGAATGTCAATCACAGAGAATATATAGTAAAAAAAACAAGAACGATCATAAGTCGATAACTCAATAACAATCACAATGATGTATGACAAATAATTTACAATCGCAAATCAATAGTCATCTCCGATATCCTCTTGCATGTTGGCAGTTAGTGAAACAGTTGGTCAAAAGCCCACTGCCGTGTTGCTCGAATGAAAGCATGGCATATGCACATGGACAAGGGCATCCAAGATACTAAGTGGCAACCAACCCATATCATTTAATGATCATATCATTTTATATGTGACTGGACACACACACATGTATATATATATATTTATTATATATACATTATAGATATGTTTTTTGTTTCATGTTTGTTGGTGTGTATATAAATACATATATGCACATGTTTACCAACCCATATGTATATATAATATGTGTATAATTTATATATATATATATGTATTCTTACTTATGTTGATTGATCTAATTATGTTTAAGTGAGGTTTATCCATGGTTCTCCCTTATAAAGGGGCAAAGAGTTCCTTCCGCTCAAGTGTCAGGTGCTCTTGATTGTCGGGCACTTGGGTTTTCAGCATGGCTTACTATGATCTTGGGGATCTAATGGGGATTTAATGGGCTTTCATGAGATTTAAATAAACGGATTTAGTGGGAATGTGATGTGTATTTAATTGGATTATAAATGGAACCACCATATAGAGTAGTCATATATTATAAACTGCTCTTTCTAGAATGAAATAGCAACAGATCACTTGGAATTTTGATCTTTTGTAGGTGACTCCCAAAGGGTTTACCTGGCCGTTGTTAACCACCTACTAGTACATAATATAAATAAGATGTTATTAAGCGATGGAAGATGACTGGCGGTTTCAATTCACCTGTGAAATGGGATGACGGTCCCCAATGACAAGCATATTTTTCGGAATGCCCCAACTCCATACTCTTGGAACATGATCTATCGGTGGGAACCACTAGCCAGAAGGTTTCAGAGAGGACCTGCCTTTTTTGACTTTGTGTGGGAGTTTGTGGCAGGGGACCAATGGCAGTTGCTCTTTGATTCGAGACAGAAGCTTCAACGGTATGACAGCGTGGAACACGGCAATTTTGTGAAATACCCACATCAATGCATGACAATGTGGTGCAACGAATAGCAGCAAACTAGCATTTGGCAGTTTACCCATACACACACGTATATACTGTATATATATATATATAGGTATAGAGAGAGAGATAGAGAGATAGATAGATAGATAGATAGATGAGATGAGATGAGATAAGATAAGATAAGATAGATAAGATAGATAGATAGATAGATTAGATTAGATTTGATTAGATTAGATTAGATTAGATGGATGGATAGATAGATAGATAGATAGATATAGATCGATAGATCGATAGATCGATAGATCGATAGATCGATAGATCGATAGATCGATAGATCGATAGATAGATAGATAGGTAGGTAGGTAGGTAGGTAGGTAGGTAGATCGATAGATCGATAGATAGGTAGTTCGATGATGTTCGATGAGTTTCCCACATTTTCCATTAAAGATATTAAAGTATTTACACGAGTTGGAGTTTCCATTGCCGTGTCAAATTCCCAGAGGGTATTGCCCCATGGCTCTCCACATTTGCTGGTGCATGAGCCGTGCCCAGTCATCCTTCCTTTTGCTGCATGCCACCGAACAGAAGGTCACCCGGCACGGTCTCATGGGTTCGCTCCATGTAATGAGGGAAGAGATGTTTTTTTCCCACATGTTTTTTGATTGAAAAGAATGAGCCTTTAATATTGAATGTATTGGACGAATCATCTAAAAACATCTAAAAACATATTTTAGATGTTTCCTAAAATGAGAATAATTACCCCAAAACCACAGGTTTCAATACTGATGTGGTCTAATTTTGGATGATTTTGGGTACACCTATTTTAGGAAACAGTCATTTCTGTACAGCATGTAGACATTTGATTATTTTGATTGGTAAATCCTTTCCCGAGACGGTGAATCGATTGATTCGTTGATCCATTGGTAGGTAACTTTGCCATCAATGACTTGCTTGGGGGATGAAAAAGGCTCCAACTCCACCAGTTCTGACACTCAAACATGTCACGACTTGGGTGTCGCTGCACCTTCCATCTTGAAAACTCTCAATCCATGATGACACCTGGAGCGCCTAAAGAGAAATACAATACACAAACGGCTTTTGACCAGCCAATCCTGGAGCTTTTGTTTGGTCCTACCCTGGCATGGCCAGTTTTTGGGGCTCAAAATTGTGATGTCAGGACTATTATGAGGTCCTGGGTGTCGCAAAGGCGCTTGGGACAGTTGTAGCCAGAGGAAAGCGTTTTTTCCATTGATTAATCATTATTATTAACCATTATAAACCATTATTAGCCATTATTAACCATTAATATAGATAGATAGATAGATCGTTGTAATCCCGGAGAACACTGGGATTTCAGCCTTTTAGTTCGGATCTTCGC